ACCAGCCAATTATAGCATCAGAACTCTAAGCACCTGAGAAAGAGTGGGCACCTCCCAGAACATTGTTTTGTGCCACTCCCAACAGAAATACTCCAGGTGGACACCTTCAGCAACCAGGAGCTCCTCAGTTGCTCATAGCAAATCCCATGGAGTTTACAAAGACTTATGGGTAGAAAAGCCACACAAAGTAATTTACTACACTGCAATCCCTTTCCAAAGAGGTGTTCAGCTATTTGCCTTCAATCTCACTGATTCTGTCTCCCATTGATTAAATTCTGCTCCTTTGCCCATTCAATGCCTTACCTGTTTCTGGAAATTTAGTATTAATCTTCTGGATTTCTGTGTGTAGATTTTGTATCATCTCTGATTTTTCATTTATTTTTTCATTGTGTTCTTGTGTTGTCTTTTGAAATTGTTCCAGGGTTTTCTCTGTGTTTTCCTTGATCTGTCTCTCAATTCGTTGAAGATATCTATAATTATTTTGAATTCCTCATCAGGGAGTTCCAATGCTGCGTCTTCGTCAGGGATGTGTTTTGGGTGTGTATCCTGGTCCCTTGTTTCTCCTGCTTTATCTTGATTCTTTGTGTGGACTGTGATGCTCTGTTGTCTCTGAGGCATTGTGACATTTTTGTGTTTATATTTAATTGGTGATTGTATGTTGGAGTGACTTGCCCACGATTTTCGTTTTGTTTTGTTTGTATGTTATCTGCACAAGTAGGGTGCTGTGCTCCTCTATTGGCTAGTTGACAGCACTTATACACTCACCAGCTGTCTCCTTTCCTTTGTCAGCCTCTCCCCTGTCCTTGCCGACCCTGGCAAACAGAGCCTGTTCTTAGGTCCCTGGAATCTGAATGAGAATGCTATCACTTTAAAATCCAAAATGATTGCCACATGTAAACAATCAAAATGGCTGTGCCCTCCAAACAGCAGAAAGTCCACAGCTCAGGTTGTCTCCCTCCTTGCTGTTTCCCTTCCTAGTCAGAGGCCACCAGGGCATTCATCCCTGCAGCCCTTGGTGACCAGGGCTGATCTTTAAGACAATCCTCAGGTCCCAACACCACTTGGAAATATTCAGGCTGTTGGTCCCATCAGAGTAGCTCACAGTCTGCAGCTCCGACAGATTCTGTACTCACTGTTTTTGTTCATTTCCACTAGTTGGTGCCTAATGCACTTCTGTATGGTTCCTTTCAAAGCTCAGGGCTCCAGGATTATCTTCTGTATCTCTGTCAATTGGTTTTTCTTTTCTTTGTTGAAGAGGGTCTGTGTCTCTTGTGTGCCTATTCCTCCATCTTAGCGGAAGTCCAGCTATGGGTTTTTTATAAATGCCCTTTAAGAAGGCTGACCACTTTCCTTCATTCTTCTTTGCTCTGGATGAGGAGAGACCCATTGTTGCATCTATATGGTCGCTTGCGAGCTTTTAAGACTTCAATTGCTACTCATCAAAATAGGATGTAGCACAGTGTTTTTGTGTAGTATGTTATGCCAGTGATGACCCCATTTCTGTTTTATGACCTCTCACCCTGTTCCTGCCCCCATCACTATCTTTCTCTCCCCATTCCCAACCCCTTTCTGAACTTCATTCCAATTTCAGATGCTGTCCCTGACTCCTCTCTCTTTCCCCAGGGCTCCAATGCTGTGGCCTCAGCTCTTGGGGCCTGTTTACTGCTCCGAGTCCTGGCACGGACGGAATCTGAGGCCGAGGAGGCAGAGCGGAGGAAGGACCTAGCAGCCAAATTTGAGGGGCTGGGTGTTGGTGTGTGGGGCAGGGGTGTTTGGGGGTGGGGACAGGGCGGCTGTCTTCACTCCACTGCACGGGCCTGGTCCTCCCCTTGAGTTTCCTCACCTCTCCCTGTAACTCTGCCCCCCGCTCCTTCTCTTCCTTCCCCTCACATCCATCCCTGTCCTCAGGCCTCTTTGGCCAGTGCTACCGCAGCAACGAGAAACGGGCTGCCCGACTGCTCCTCCGCCGCTGCCCGCTCTGGGGGGATGCCACCTGCCTCCAGCTGGCCATGCAGGCCGATGCCCGGGCCTTTTTTGCCCAGGATGGCGTTCAGGTAAGTATCCCAGACCTCAGTGACCCCGCCAACTCCCATCTGGACCCTGAGAACTGTGGACGATCAGCCCTGACATTTTGGGAAGCCCATGGATTTGGTCAGCTGTTCCCTCGAAGACCACCCCTCCCTTGTCCAGGCAGGCTGCTCTGCCCATAAGAAGCCGCCTACCCCCTACTCCCTCAACCATAGGAAAACTGACCTTCCCACAGCAAAGCCCACTCTGCTAACACTGGGTAACAGGAAGTCTCATCTCTCACACAGGAAGTCCTTCCCCCTCCCACAGAGCATTTCAATTCTCATAAAGGAAGTCCCGCTTTATACACAGGAAGTCCGGCCCACTCTTGAAGAGCTCCCTTGTTCCAGTTCTCAATCATTAGACCGACCTCACTGGATAGTTATTTATTGCCATATTTATTTATTTATTGCCTTCTGAACAGAGGCAAACTCTAGTTTAGGAACCCCACCCTTCTTCCAGGAAACCCTCTCCCTTGGGAAGTCCTCCTGGCTCCCACGGTCACTTCCGTCCTGCCAACCTCAACATTTTGGAAACTTTTGCATTTTTTTTTTTTTCTCATTCTTTTTTAATATTTTTTTATTTTTAAATTTTATTTTGATTTGGGTGAAGATTTACAGAGTACATTCACTTTTCATACAGCAGTTCACATACACTTTGTCTCATGTCATTGACCAAAATTTACAATCTGCAGTATTTTTAATCTTGCTTTTTATTAGGGGCTCAGAGTGTCCTACCCCCAGTAGTGGAAGTGCCCCGACCCCACAGGTTATCCTGCTTCCCTCGACAGGGAATTCCGTCCTCACCTAGTGGAACCATTTCACTGGCGTTTCAAACGGCTGTCCAGATCTTTGCTTTGAATCGTGGTCAGACTCATGGATTTCAGCTGGGTGCATTTCTTTGAGCCTCAATTTCCTCAGCTGTTGAAAGGGAGAAAAGACTATGACCTATTTTCTTGGGGGGGTATGGTAAGCTTCAAGTGAGCTAATCGATGCAACATGCGTGACTCAGTATCTGACATAGAGTGTTAGTCAGTGTTGGGCAAAACCCAGGACAGCTCATCTTCCCTTTTGACAACGTCCCTCCCACCTCCCATGTTAGGCACTTGCTCTGGGAGCTCTGGTGGCATAGTGCCTAAGGCACTTGACTGCTAGCCAGGGGGCTAACAGTTCAAACCCACCAGCCACTCCTCGGAAGGAAGACTGGGCAATCTACTTCCGTGGAGATAGTGCCTCGGAAACCCAAGAAGGGGTCGCTATGAGTCGGACTGGACTCAATGGCAGTGAGTTTTTTTGGTTTGGTTGTTCCTGGTGCTCTGGAGCCGTGGCCCAGCCCTTGCCTGGGGTCTCAGGGAGGGGAGTGTGTGTGGGGGGGATTCAGCGTCCTAACCTTGTCCATGCCCCACAGTCTCTGCTGACCCAGAAGTGGTGGGGGGAGATGGACAGCACCACACCCGTCTGGGCCTTAGTTCTTACCTTCTTTTGCCCTCCACTCATCTACACCAACCTCGTCACCTTCAGGTCAGTCCCCTGGGGTGAGACTGGCAAGAGGGGGGCGCCCAGTGTCTCCTTGTTCACTTCTGCCCACCTTGCCTACCTGGTCTGTGCACTGCTCGGACTGGGGGTGGGGCACGTTCTGTGAGGCGAGGTTTCAGGGGTGTTCTTTGCAGTGTCTCTCGGTGCAATCCCTCTGCCCTCTGGCCCTGTCTCTTGGGAGAGGTCTCTCTGGGGCATCTTTGTCTCTCTGGCACGTCTCTGGTGAAGCAGCATGGGTCTCTCCGGGGAGTCATCTCTTCTCTCCCCATTTCCCACTCTGTGCTTCTCTCCACGCTAGGAAGTCCAAAGAGGAGGCCACAAGGACCGACCAGGAGTTTGACGTGGATAAGGGCCTTAACGGGGAAGGGCCTGTCGGGTGAGTGAGGGCTGTGCACTGTGCGAGGTTGGAGCGCCCAGGGCAACTGTAGGAGCGTCGGGACTGAGAGCAAGGTCACAGGTGTGGAGCGGGGCTTTGAGAAGAGTGGCTTCACTGAGCCACTAAAGACACTGAGAACGTTTCCCAAATGCCTGTTTCTGCCAACCTCAAGGTCATGAAAGAACAGGAAGTCACAGTCAAAAAGGCAAAAATGTCTACACAGGGGTCAGAAAGCTTGAGAAGGTCATGTGGAAGGTCAGCCACCTTGATGGTGGGAGAATTCAGAGGTCAGGGGTCGTATGTCGTGGTTGTTAGTTGCCGTCAAGTTGATTCTAACCCTGGCGACCCCGTGTGTGCTCCACGCGGTTTCCAAGGCTGTGAACTTCTGGAAGCTCACAAGGCCTGTCTTCCGAGATGCCCCTGGGTGGGTTCGAACAGCCCATCTTCCAGCTAGTAGTCAGGCAAGCACTCAACCCTTTGTGCTATCCGGGGATTCCAGGGGGTTTATAGTTATCCAGGGACCCAAAGTCAAGAGAAGAGGTCAGACTTAGCACCATGGGTCAGGCAGGGTCAGAGGTCATGAAGGTAGAAGTCAGATGTGGAAAGTCAGAGGTCTTACTCATGGTGAAGGTGAGAGTTCAGAGGTCAGCTTGAGACCTCCCTTCTCTCCCGCTGCCCCCCCCCCAGGCCGGCAGACCCCGCAGAGAAGATGCCACTGGGGGTGTCGAGGCCGCAGCGACGCGGCAGCTGCTGTGGGGGGCACGGCTGGCGTCTGTGTCTGCGCCGCTGGTCCCACTTCTGGGGGGCGCCGGTGACGGCCTTCATGGGCAACGTGGTCAGCTACCTGCTCTTCCTGTTGCTGTTTGCTCGCGTCCTGCTCATCGACTTCCACCCCACGACCGTCAGCGTCCCCGAGCTGCTCCTTTACTTCTGGGCCTTCACCCTGCTCTGCGAGGAGTTCCGGCAGGGCCTGGGCAGCGGCTGGGGCAGCCTGACCACGCGGGCACACAGCCACGGCCAGACCCCGCTGCGCCGCCGGCTGCGTCTCTACCTCGCCGATGCCTGGAACCAGTGCGACCTGGTGGCTCTCGCCTGCTTCCTCCTGGGCGTGGGCTGCCGGTGAGTCCTGCCGTGAGCTTTGAAGCCGGCCCCGTGGCAACCTCTGAGCCCTCCTGCCCCTAGGTCTCAACTCTTGTGTCGTCTGGGGTGGGCAACACTGAAGTCCAACTCTTCTTAACCATCAAACAAAAGACCCCTCTTGATTGAGAACTGAAAAAAAAAAAAAAAAACCCTTTGCTGTTGAGTGGGGACCCCATGGGTCACACAGTAGAGCTGCCCCATGGGGTTTTCTTGGCTGTAATCTTTACAGGAGCTCACCAGGGCTTTCTCCCATGGAGCCATTGGGCTGGTTTGAACTGCCAACACCTCGGTTAGTGTTGTTGCTGTCAGTTGATTCCAACTCACAGCGCCCCTAGAGGACAGAGTGGAACTGCCCCACAGGGTCTCCAAGGCTGTCAGTCTTCACAGAAGCAAAGCCCAAACCACACCCACTGCCATGGAGTCCATTCTGACCCACAGCGCCCCTAGAGGACAGAGTGGAACTGCACCACAGGGTCTCCAAGGCTGTCAATCTTTACAGAAGCTGACTGCCAGGTCTTTCTGTAGAACTGCTGGGTGGGTCTGAACCACTAACCTTTTGGTCAGCAGCTGAGTGCTTAATCATTGTGTCACCAGGGCTCCTTCATAGGCTGGTAATCCAGTGTTTGTACCACCCTGGGCCTCCAACAACATGACTCATTATTTCTGGGGTTAAGTTTTACAACACATACTTATCATTCATGTTCCTGTCCACATCTAATTCTGCTGAAGTCCATGGTCTGTCTGGGTGAGTTTCCCTGTGTGGCTGTTCCCTCATGTCCAGTTTCCCTGGGTCAGATTTCACGGAGTCCCGTTTCATCCAGAAGGCGCACATCTTCTGTCCACTTTTCTTTGACCTTTTAAAACCTTGACCAATGCTGTCTCGCCTGCTGTTCATTACGTTTTCTTTTTTAAACTTTTATTTTTTAGTTTTCTTTGGATTCCACTGACCAGTACTGTTACCTGATAAATTCATTACAAGAAGTGTCATTTTTAGCTATTCGTATTATCAGAATAAACCTATTTCTTAGCTAATTCATTGAAAACAAATGAGGAGGAATCCCCCTCGAATATTTCTGTTGCCAGGACTGGGTTGTATGTTGTTGTTATGTGCCGTCGAGTTGGACCCAACTCATAGCAACCCCTCCTTGGGTTTCTGAGGCGGTATCACTATGGAAGTAGATTGCCCAACCTTCCTTCCGAGGAGTGGCAGGTGGGTTTGAACCGCCAGCCTTCTGGTTAGCAGTCAAGTGCCTTAGGCACTGCACCACCAGAGCTCCTACCTTCACAGAAGCAAAGCCCAAACCAAACCCAGTGCCTGGAGGGGATTCTGACCCACAGCGCCCCTAGAGGACAGAGTGGAACTGCTCCACAGGGTCTCCAAGGCTGTCAGTCTTTATGGGAGCAAAGCCCAAACCACAGCCACTGGAAGCAAAGCCCAAACCAAAGTCACTGCCATTGACTTGACTCATAGAGACCCCTCCTTGGGTTTCCGAGGCGGTATCACAAAGGAAGTAAGATTGACCACCCTTCCTCCCGAGGGTTGTATTAGTACATCTCCTTTATAGGCGCTAGATCATTCTCTGTGATGTGCAGGGAAAAGGCAAAGGGCAGGTCAGAACGTCCTTGGGGACAGACTGTCTTGCCACTGGGTCTTGGCACACACTTTTCCACCCTCCCGGGACCCTGTTCCCTCCTCTCCTGTGCCTGGTTGACGCTTACGCTTCTTTCAGCCTTACTGTCCCTGCCTCTAGAAGCCTATCTGTTCTCTCCTGGCCCCCTGACGTCCCTCACAATGGCACCCCGACCCCAGACGGCGGCTCTCCCTCTCGTCATGCAAGTCCCGTAAACTCAAGTCTCATCTTAACGCCACTTAAAATATCTTTTAAATATAGTGTGTTACCAAAAAAATGTGCAAATACGTCCTTGTTGAGCAAATGGAGGAGGACCCAGGGTAGGACCCAAAGATTTTCCTCCACTGTTTCAAACGCCCTCTCTCCCCCAAAGGTTACCTCCGTGAACAGTTTGGCAAATGTCTTGCCTATTCTTTCTGCCTTTACACAGAATTCTTACCTCTTCTAACTTCACAAGGGGGAATGAGGATCTAGATCCAGTAAACAGCCCAGGGCTGATTTCTATGAGGCAGAGGTCAGACAAGCCACACCCTTCAAACTTTTTAATCAACTCTGACACCAACTGTCCCTCCCACGTCACTCTCTGCTTTTCTGCTGGGTTCAATAATTCACTGCACTGGCCGAGTAGAACTCACAGACAATACTCGGGATTATGAGATTTATTTATTTATTTTTTTTAAATTGTGATTTGGCTGAAGATTTACAGAGCAAATTCACTTTCCATACAGCAATTCACATACACTTCGTCTCATGACATTGACCACAGTTTACCACAATGCAACAGCTCCCCTCCTACTTCCTCCCCATAGTTACCTCTTCCCTGTGTCCATCCCTCCATGTACCCCTGCCCCCTGAGCTGTCTCCCTGTGCATACACAGCCCTTCTTTCTCCCATGATTGGTCTCTCCAAGGAGAGTGTCTGCTTGAGGTAAGTGTTCAACTCATGCCTGGAAGCCACAGGTGTGGGTTCAATTCCAGACCTGAAGGGCAGCTAGGGGCCATAGTCTCAGTGGTTCCACTAGGCTCTATCAGACCAGCAAACCTGGTTCCTGATTATGGGATTTATTAAGGAAGTAAATGATTACAATTCAGGATCAGAAATAACTCAGGAAACAGGTCTTCAATAAGGACAGCTTCTCAGCCATGCCACAGGCACACTGCTCCCTGGCCTCAGCCTCTCGGCCCTGTAGCCTCTTGGCTTCTGCCCTGCTACGGCCAGTGTTACAAAGCCCTTTACCTCTGTAGCTAGGTGCCCAGAGAGGCACCCCAGTCCACCAGCGAGGCTCCTGCCCTAAGGCACTCAGCTTTCTCACTCTGTGCGCCAGCAAGCCTGCTGCGCCGTCTCGGGCTGGTCCCTTGGGTCTGCTGCCTCTGCTCACCATTTTTCTGCCGCTGTTTCTCGCTGTATCGGCACAGGGTCCAAGGATGTCCTCCACTCCTGGCTCTTCTTTCTTGATGGTGGTGAGATTCTCCCTCTCTGCCTCTCGGATGCCTTGCGGACGGCAAAACCAACCAATCCCCAAGTTAGGGTTCCATCCACCTTATTTACATTATTAATAGCTATCCAATCGCCTTGGTGGGCCACAAGCACCTCACATTTGCACAGTCCCTCCCCAGTCATCTGGTGGGAGTCACAAACACCATGGCTAGCAGGGCCACACTAAGTAATTCACTGCCCTGCACATAAACAGTAATTATTTTATGTATTTGCTGCAACTTTCCTCCACCCACATGTTCTGACATTACCTTCTTTCTATAAATTTGGCTTATTTTAATTTTTAACCATGTTGCAGCGGATTCTAGCTACAGTGATTTTAAGCGTCACTGGTTAATGGCCAGATGAGACAGTCGTTTGCTTGCCAGTATTTAATGCACGAATCGGTTCTTTTTCTCGGGCTGTGAGACAAAAATTCTGAACTTCAGGAGGCAGAAATCAGTCCCAGAATTTCTCAACAAAGTCTCTTTCATTTTTCCACGCAAGACAATACGAACTTGGAATCAGATATTGGCTTCTCTGCTTCCAGTCCTTTGCTGATAAGGTTTCTTTTTTCAAGTCTGAGCAGCTAGGAACCCTTCCCTTTGAGAAGTTAAGAGAGTTTAGTGAACAGAAGCTGGTGACAATTTGCAAGGGACAAAGTGATTGGAACTTCCTTTTATAACATGGATGGCTGACAGGAGTAACCCCCATTCAACCCTTCCTCAGTTGATTCATTAAGGGGCTTGCTTCCTGCTGTCTAGAAATATCATAGTCATTCCACGTGAACAGGTAGTCCACACTGAGGTACGATAAAATACACTGAAAACCGTCTAGCTTTTTTTTTTTTGGCTTCTCTAAGGTGCATATAACTACAGAAGCAGAAATGACAATGTCACCGCTGTAAGTTTATAAGGAATGTTTCTAACACCCAAAGCCAAAGAAAGATTAGGCTTATAAAGAGTCTGATAATATAAGGCAATAATAATGACAACTGAAAAAAAAAAGATTTGACCTACCTCAGAACCAGTTCATGACGGAGTCATTGGGGACTACCTGTATTCAAAGAGGGAATGAAAGATCAGAACTTCAGCAGAACGTTAATGCTTCTGTTACCCCTCACTGTCTTTTGTATAAAATATCTTTTGAGATGAAAGGGCTAAGGCCACGTGCCACCATGCTTTAGCACACGGCGATATTTTAGTCGTTGTATCAAACCCACTGTTTTCCAGATGAAGGAAGAGTTATTGCATGGGAAAAATGTAAAGCTCACAGCTTGCAAGGGAGAAATCTCCAACAGTCTCCAGGATGGAATGGAATTCTACTGGATTTTGCCAACCTCCAGTGGGTGCAAAGGTTCCTTGTGGTGCAAATGGATTGCCCTTGGCCGTTGGCGCTCATGCCCACCCAGCAGTGTGATGGAAGAAAGGCCTGGCAATCTGCTTCTCTAAAAAAACAGCCAAGAAAACCCTGGGGAACAGTTTTACCCTAACGTGGGGTCACCACGAGTCTGAGTTGACGCAACAGTTTCTTTTTTTTAGTTTGTGGATGGCCATTGAAGTTTTTGTTTTGCGCACTGGTTTCAGGAATTCTATATATTTTGCATCTTAGTCATTGGGCAAACATTTTGCAAGTGTCTCCAACTTGATTCTTACAGGGACCTCCCAGTTATTTTGCTAAGACCATCAGGATCTAAAGGGTGCCCGCTGCCTTCGAAGCCCAGCTTGGCACTGAGGAAACCTGAACGAACCCAGGCCAATGACAAGAGTCCAGGGTCCTGCCCTGTGGAGGCCACAGCCTCACCTGAAACACAGCCTTGGGAAGGCTCGCGTTTTCCTTCGCAGCCTGTGAGCCTTCATGCCTCCCGTCTTCCCCTCCTCCCCCCCAGGCTGACCCCGGGCCTGTATGACCTCGGACGCACCGTACTCTGCCTCGACTTCATGGTCTTCACGCTCCGCCTGCTGCACATTTTCACAGTCAACAAACAGCTGGGGCCCAAGATCGTCATTGTGAACAAGATGGTGAGGGGCGGGGCCGGAGGAAGAAAGGGGGTGGGGCCAAGGGTTGCGGACACAGGTGGTTGGTTGTCAGTCAGGCAATGGGCCGGGCCAGCGGTTGGAGGCGTGGCCAGGGGAAGGAGAGGGATGGGCTCTGGCAAGGAGGGGCGGGGCTTTGGGATCCGGAGGCAGGGCCAGAGTAGGGAAGGGTGGGGCCAACTCCGCTGTCTCTTCCTCTTCCGGCAGATGAAGGATGTGTTCTTCTTCCTCTTCTTCCTCGGTGTGTGGCTGGTTGCCTATGGAGTGGCCACAGAGGGGCTCCTAAGGCCCCAGGACCGTGACCTCCCCAATATCCTACGCCGTGTCTTCTACCGGCCCTACCTGCAGATCTTTGGGCAGATCCCCCAGGAAGAGATGGACGGTAAACAGGAATGAAAGGCCCTGCCATCTTCCTTCAGCGTCTCTGTCCCCCACGCCCCGGGTCTCCTCATGGGCCTCTGTCCCTGTCCCTCCAGCCCCTTGCATTTCTGTCTTCTTCATGTCCCCTTTTCACAGTGGCTCTCATGGAGCATGTCAACTGCTCGTTGGAGCAGGGCTCCTGGGCACACCCGCCGGAGAGCCGGATGGGCTCCTGTGTCTCTGTGTATGCCAACTGGCTGGTCCTACTTCTGCTGATTTTCTTCCTGCTGGTGGCCAACATCCTCCTGCTCAATCTGCTGATTGCCATGTTCAGGTGAGGTCTGTCTGTCCTCTGATCTGCATGACCCTTGATCCAGCACGACCTTTGACCCAACACGACCCTTGACCCCATCATGATTTTTTAACCTCCCCGCTAAAAAACCAAACTCACTGCCCTCCAGTCGATTCCGACTCATAGCAACCCCCCCTTGGGTTTCCAAGGCCGTATCACTATGGAAGTAGATTGCCCAGTCTTCCTTCTGAGGAGCGGCTGGTGGGTTTGAACTTCCAGCCTTCTGGTTAGCAGTCAAATGACTTGGGCACCATACCACCAGGGCTCCCCGCCTTTTTGACCCCAGCCTGCTCAATTCTATCATTAGTCCCTGTACTTCTGATGTCAATCCAACCATGCTTGTCCCCAGTCCCAGCCAGATCCATCCCTGACTTGGACTTTTATGATCATCTCCCTGAGCCCAGAATGACCCTTGAGCCTAACTCCAGTCCTGACTCCAACCAGTACCCTAATCCATGAGCCCATCCCCAATTTGACCTTTGACATCTAACCTCTGGCCCTCCAAACCTGACTTCAAACTCCGTCTGATAGTAATCTCTGATTTTATTGATCTTGATCCCTGCTTGCTGCCTTGGACTTTGAATAGATAGTGCCCTACATCTAACCTTGATCTCCTGCCCTTGAACTCCGGTGACCCTTGACCTCTGGCTTCCGCAGCCATACCTTCGCCAAAGTCCAGGGTCACAGCGACCTTTACTGGAAAGCCCAGCGCTACAGCCTCATCCGAGAATTCCACTCTCGGCCCGCTCTGGCTCCGCCCTTCATTGTCATCTCGCACATGCGTCTCATCTTCCGGCGATTGCGCAGGCACTGGGCTCGGCTGCCCGACTCTCCGCACTTCGAGCATTTCCGTGAGGGCGGGGCTTAGCCTCAAAGGACGAAACTTTGGGGGCGGAGCCTCGGCAGGAAGATGGGCGGAGGAGAGAGGTCGACCAGAAGTACTTAGAGAACCCCCATGTAGATGGGGCTTACACTTTAAATGGCCCGGGTCTGGCATATCAGGGGCGTGGGCTCGAAGCGCGCTGCAGAGAGCTCGTACTAAGGGTTTTGGTTGAGACGGCTGGGCCTGGAAAGGGGCGTGGCCCAAGAGAGGGGCGGGTCTTCTGAATCCATTTGGGCTCCGCCCTCCAGGGGTCCACCTCCCTAAAGAAGCCGAGCGGGAACTGTTGACGTGGGAATCGGTGCAGAAAGAGAATTTCCTGCTGGCCCGGGCGCGGGACAAGCGGGAAAGCGACAGTGAGCGTCTGAAGCGCACGTCGCAGAAGTGAGGGCGGGGCCTGGTCAGGGGTGGGGCTTGCAAAGCGCATGGGCGAGGGGTGGAGCCTGAGGGGGCGCCCGGGAGGAAGGCGGAGCTCCATGGGCGGGGCTTCCACAGGTGGGCGGGGCTGGTGGGCTGCAGGCATGGGCTGATCCCTCCTTCCTAAGAGTGGACACTGCGTTGAAGCATCTGGGACAGATCCGCCAGTACGAGAAGCGTCTGAAAGAGCTGGAGCAGGAGGTGAGGACCCCAGGACGGCTTGGCGGCGTGTGGCAGTGGTGCTGGGCCGTGGGTTGCCGGTCTCCTGCCCTGACTCTCTGCTTCCCAGGTCCACCACTGCAGTCGCGTCCTGGACTGGATGGCTGAGACGCTGAGCCGCTCTCCGTTGCTTCCCCCCGGGGGACCACCGCCCCCAGTCCCACTTGGACCCAAAGGTCAATGGGTGGGGCCCTTCTGCGTATCTCTGACACCTTAGCCCACTCTGTGGCTCTCTTCTTGTGTTCCTGTGTGCACCTGTCTTTCTCACGGCTCTTGCCTTGTCCTCTGGCCACTCTGTCTCTCTGCTAGTGTCCCGTTTTTCTGTGTCTCTCCCCATCACCTGCTCTTTCTTCTGTCTCCTTCCAGACTGAGCCCTGCTGGTGGACTTCAAGTAGCCCTTCAAGGGGATATCGTTCCCAGGATAACTGCCCAGGCAGGCCTTGCCCCTGCACTTGGCCTTGCCCTTGAGGTGGGCCTGAAGCTCGTGGACCACTACCTGGGCAGTTCTCGGGACCATGGAGAGGAGTGTCATCTATACGGACCACATTAGGCCCAGCTGCTCCAAGAACCAGCCCCACACTGGGAGGATTGACCTCTGGAGCCCTGGCTGCCGGCCAACTGAGGGCCCTGATGTGGTGGGGGAGGTTGGGGGTCCTTGGGGTACAGGGGCCATGGACCCTACTCACAGCTCCCCACACTGGGGAAATAAAGGCATTTGAGATGAGTAAGGTCTGGATGGTTGATTGTTGGTGAACTAGGGGGTGTCTGAGGCGCTCTGGTGGCACAGTGATTGAGCGCTTCTCTGCTAACTGAAAGGACAGCAGTTCGAACCCACCAGGTGCTCTGCAGAAGAAAGATGGGGCAGCTTGCTTCGGTAAGGTTATAGACTTAGAAACTCTGTGAGGCAGTTCTACTATGTTCTTGTGGTAGTTAAATTTGTATGTCAACTTGGCTGGGTCTGGTTGAGTGGCTGGGCAGCTGGTGGTAGTTATTCCTCATGATGATACTGGCATTCAACTCCATGGTGGGATCTACCACAAGCAGCTGAGTAGCTGCCTTAGGGATGTGGTCTGCTTCCTGTGTATAAGGAGAAGCCTTGGGAATGGTCTCTAGCCTATGGCACACTTGGACCCTGCATGTAGCCGTGTCGTTGTTCAGCAGCCTGCCATGCTCTGCCGACTTTGGGACTTTCAGTGGACTTAAGTCAATGGCCTGCCGTGTGGTTTGCTAACATCGGTTTGCCTTGTTACTTGTCACCCTTGGGTTTGTCAGTACAGGCCCAGAGGGAAAAAAGGGAAACCCTCTGTGAGATGGACTGACACGGTGGCTGCCACATGGGCCATTTCCCACAGGTCCAGGGGCCAGGACTCACTGCATAGTTTTGGGGAACACACCTCAATCCATACCAGAGGCCCAGCCCCTTTGGTCTGCACTGTTGTGATGACTCTCACTTTCGTGGTTGTTCATAAAGTGTGTCACTGCTTTTCATTAGGTTTTCAGTGGCCACTTTTGTCAGAAGTGGATGGTTCCATCCTTCTTCCCAGTCTGTCTTGGTCCGGAAGCTCTGCAGAAGCGCGTCCACCACGAGTGACCCTGCTGGTATTGGAGATACAGGTGGCATGGCCTCTAGCCTCACAGCAACATGCAAGCCACCTCGGTATGACAAACGGACAGACGAGTGGTGTTGGGGAAGAATGCGGAAAGTGCCATGGACTGCCAAGAACAAACAAATCTGTCCTGGAAGAAGTGTAGCTGGAATGCTCCTTGGAAGCACGAACGGCCAGACTTTGTCTCACCTCCTGTGTTAGGCTGGGTTCTCTAGAGAAGCAAAACCAGTAAAGCTTACGTATACATATAGAGAAAGAGAAAATTATCTTAGGAAAACGGCTCACACACTTAGAGAAGCTGGCAAGTCCCAAGTTCTTGGATCAAACGTCAAGCTGGAGGCTTTTCCCGACTCTTGCAGCCGCAGGGGCTGAGGAGCTCAGGGTTGGCAGGCAGTAGACTGGCTGTTGACTCCAACGAATGACGAATCCAAGATCTCCAGGCCGAATGGTGGATTGTTCGCTCACAGACGGTTGTAGGCAGCACAACAGGATCCTAATCCACAGAAGAGTGTCCCTTTTCCCAGGATGTCCATAAATAGATTGGAAGCAGGCCACACCCCTAGGGAAACTCCCCTTCAATGGATTGACTGCTCAAAACACATCCTATCCCATCATGGGAATAACCCACACCACAACTGCTTAAACCACACAGCATTGTGGTCCAGCCAAGTTGACACACAGCTCCACCCGTCACACCTACTTTGGTCATGTTGTCAGAAGGAACCATTTCCAGGAGAAAGATACGCTTGGTTCAGCAGAGTATCAGTAGAAAAGGGGAAGGCCCTTGTGGTGGTTGTGTTTGTGTGTCAATGTGGCTGGGCCTGGTTGAATGGCTGGGCAGCTGGTGGTAGTTATTCCCCATGATGAGACTAGCAATCAGCTCCATACTGGGTAGCTACGTTTGGGATGTGGTCTGCTTCCTGTATTTAAGGAGAAGCCTTGGGAATGGTCTCTAGCCTGTGGCACGCTTGGACCCTGCATGTGGCCGTGTCGTTGCTCAGCAGCCTGCCATGCTCTGCCGACCTTGGGACTTACAATGGACTTAAGTTAATGGCCTGCCGTGTGGTTTGGTAACATCGGGACTGTGCCTTTTGACTTGTCAACCTTGGGGCTTCTCAGCCTCAGCAGCCAGCAGCTGTCTGAGGGAAGAAACGCCTCTAGCTTCAGTGGGCCGGGAGCAGGAGGCAGAGCTGGACCCCAAGGTTGAGGGGCTTTCAGCCAGCCCCTAGAGCCTGGCACTTTGAACTTGGACGTAAAGCCTCCAAATTATAAGAATACACTCCCGTTTGTTAAGGCCATCCCATTGGTGGTATATTCTCATCAGAGCGGCACCAGGGAACCAGAACAGCCCTCAACGAGATGGAGTGGCACAGTGGCTGCGATGATGGGCTCGGGTGCAGCAGGGGTCGTGGGGCTGGCGCAGGGCCAGGCAGTGTTTCGTTCTGTTGTCCACGGGGTCGCTGTGAGTCAGAGCCGACTCGACGCCACCAAACAACACCACCACCACTTTGGTGGGAGAGGAAACAACACTATTCACGTCCAGCCTTGTTCCTACTTTGTGATGGAAAAGTACTGAGTGAAAATAAGCCAGCTGCCTCCCAGAGTGGGGTGGGTGGGCACTGCTTTGGCAAGAGGGAAGCAGATGATGCAAATCTGAGCAGATAAATAACATCCATGTCTTTAAACAGCGTAATTATTGGAAAATTGCAGACCACGCACAGAGTTGGTGCGAATATGCATCATTGTACGTGCAGGCCTTCACTAAGCCACCCATAACTAATGTGGTAATGACTGGGCTGAACTGACAGCAGTTACTAGTTCAATAGCAAAAAAGCCACCACCAACCCAAACATACAAAAACTAAAAGCAAAACATGCCCCTCAACGTTGGAGAAATTCCAACTATCTGCTGCTTTGGGTGCAGAGTTGCTCTGAATCATTGCCAAGACCAGACTTCTCCAGAGGAGGCTGAGTTAGTCCTCAGTAATCCCAGTGGTGGGAGCTCTGGTGCGTAGTGCCTAAGGCACTTGACTGCTAACCAGAAGGCTGGCAGTTCAAACCCACCAGCCACTCCTTGGAAGGAAGGTTGGGCA